AAGATCCCATCAAAGACAATGTTGAATAATTTTTTTTCCAATTAGTCATGTATTTAGAACACTGGAAATAGAAGAGAGATTTCATTGATTGAAAATAATTAATACAACATAACCCTAAATACATCACCATGAAGAACTGCAAAAAGATATTATGAAGAAACTCTAAATACATTATCAACTATTTTAAATTTATAATTCATGTAGATCCAACATTGAGCCACGTTGATCTCAAGGTTATCAGTTAACCCTGCCATCCGCATATTTTTGACAATCCATTTCCGAATAAAGATTTCAGATAAAAGTCTTCCGTAGGGAATGTAGAAAATCTTGCCTTTGCAAGAACTCAAGATTTTCTCTTTAAGATAGCTAAAGATGGTAAGTGGAATGTTGACTTTCTTCTTAAGAAGAAAGAAATACAGATATTGAAAATCACCATGAGTCATCACTTTCTGATCTTCTATTCTTGGGCGAAAGTTTCCCACCAAAACTTGATGCCAGATCTTCTCCAAGAGAGCAATGAAGAAATTATCAGGGTTGTCGAAGACCTCATTCATAACATTAGAAATGAAGTCACTGTTGTAGAGCTCACCACAAGTTCCACTATCTTCACATTTCATTACCCTTGAAATAAGTTTTGGAGTGATAGTGATAGGAAAACTAAAAACATTAGACCAGATAACAGACTTACCCTTGCTGTTTAGTTTAATGGATGCATGCATCTAGAATTCTTTAACAACAACAGGATATATGGGTCCATCCAAAATATTAACATAGTGTTCCAGGTTTTGTGAAGAGAACATTTTAGTGTAATCGATTCCACGTTCTTTGAAATTGTCAGGAGACACAAGTTTCTCTCAGAGGACAGATATAACAGTTTCCTTCTTGTTGAAAGAAGACATATTGATAGAGAAGGAAGAGAATAAGAGGATTAATGGGAACAAAAAAAATGAAGCGAAGATAAGAGGAGGAAAAAATATAGGGAGAGAAGAAGTGGTGCAAAAATGAAAATTTAAATAACCAAGGGGGCATGAGTGCTCATATCGCTCATTAGTGACATTGTAAATTGAAAGGACTTCATTTGTTCCCAAGACATAGGGTATCACCATAACCTAAATACAAAGATTTGGATATCTACATTTATGACATCTGATTAATGTTTGGTGCATAGTCAATTTGAATTAAGAATGATGTGATATTTCAGTCTAAGATCTTATGGATACTATTACCTAGAAAAAATGAGATATTATGGTTACTACATACCTCTTTGTGATTTTGATAAGTATAGCTGAATTTGATTCATTTCACACACTCCCTCTTCACATGTTGACCTCAAATATATTCCCCATGTTGCACATTCCACTTATTTATTTCAAATTGCAATACAACTTATGTTAATAATATGCAACATCGGAAGACTACCTTAAGCAATAAACCAAAAATTGATCATTATGACAAAATTCGAAAAATACATAATTTTTTGGATTTCAATCTTTTTTGGGTAGTTTATGTCTAATGTTCGAAACATGAATTTAATTCTGTAATGATATTTTTACTGTGTGGGGATCAATGGCACGCTTGATAGTAGCAACCGTACTTGGATGCTATCAGCTTGACAATTTTAGTAACTGTAATACAAAAAGTATCCTAAAAGGAATAATGTAATTTAGTTAATTTGACAAAGAATTGAATAACAATAACATAAAACCAAACCAATAAATAGTCCTTATACTTTTGAGTTCATTGATTCCATTCAAAGGAAGGACAACAACTTTAGCCATGAATTTTTGATAAGGTGTTAGGTGAGAGCTTCCAGAACTGTTTCAAATTGCAATAGAACTTATGTTAATAATATGTAACAACGGAAGACTACCTTAGGCAATAAACCGAAAATTGATCTTTATGACAAAATTTGATTTTTGGAAATCCAAAACTTTTCATCTATTAATCGAAGCTTTTTAACAATTTGATATTGAAAATCTAAATTTGACATTGGAATTGAACAACAGTTTTCATGTAACAAACATGCATGTGAATATAAACTCAAAAATAGAACAATAACTACGAAATCATTCTATACAAGTTACATGTTTATTATTACATTGGAAAAATCATAGTTTCTCATGGATCAAAGGTATGTATTAGGCTTGGTTCCACCATGTGGAAGTACAAAATATTACTGTATATTTGTTCAAGGCATTAGCCATACAAAAACATACTTGAATTTACAGTCAGTGATGGGAAACTTAAATTTTTTTACTGAATTAAAAAAAAGTTATCTACAAAAATAAATACACACTTAAATTTGAAACCCTGCCAGCATGCCAAATTTGACATAAAAAGACACTTCCTTTAGCATGAAGTAACAACATCTATAATATGTTTCCATGCTTCAACTTGCTCTTTTGTCCAAACACCATTACATTATAAGTATATCTGAATTTGGATCATTTCACACACTCCTTCTTCACATGTTGACCTCAAGTATGTTTACCATGCCGCATATTTCACAGAGGTGTTTCAAATTGCAATACAACTTATGTTAATATCTAATAACGGAAGACTACCTATTGGCAATTAACCGAAAATTGATCATTATGAGAAAAATACAATCTAAATTTGAATAATATCACAATCTAATTTCATATTTCAATTCAAATGCTAACGAACTAAATTTGAATAATATCACAATCTAATTTCACATTTCAATTCAAATGCTAACAACTCAATAACACAACAAAAAAAATTATAAACTCTAAAGATTCATTTGAATGAATCTTATTTAACTATCTCCCAATTCAATGCAAATGCAAATTCAGAATTTATGAATACGATAAAATACAATCCCTAATCCACAATTACATAATTCCTGGTTAATTCAATTCAATTACATAATTCATTAATTTCATAGATACAAGTCATATTCCCCACTTACATAATTTCAGGGTAGGAATTCAAATCCATTTCAAAATTTTTTAATTTCATAAGATACAAATCTAATCCCAAAATCGATTATTTATGGTAATATTTCTAATCAACTTCAACTTAAAATACAAATTCTTAAACCCAGTTCAATAATTTAAGTATAAAATGTAAAATCTAATTGAGTTTGAGAAATATACATATTGGGATGGATATGAATAATTACCTGTGAAAGGAGACGACAACATGGAATCATTCCTTTGAGCCATATACGATCAGATGAAAAACGCAACCAATACGAATTACACGAACATTTACTTTGAATGCTAAACATCAAACATGAACACAGTTACGAAATTGTATGAGAGGGAAGCGGTCCAATACGAATTTCAAATTTACAAAATAGATCGAAATTGGGAGAATGGTGTAGAAGGAGTTCAAAGAAAAGGTGGGTGAAATTTAGGGATTTAGGATTTTAAATTACAATTTTAAATTTGAAAGTTGGAAGAAGAAGAAGAAGAGGAGTTATTTTTAGTAAAAGTTATTTTTAATTTGAAAAATATCATTAATTGAATGGTGACTCGTATGTAATAATTAAAATTTTTTTTTAAAATAGATCCACTGTAAAGTTACTCCACCATAAACTGATGTGAATTAGAACTTTTTTTTTATTAGATAATTAAAGTGACTTCTTCAAAGAAGTCAATTGTGTGACTTCATCATAGAAGTTCCCCACAAAAGTGATTGGCCTAGGGAACTCAAATGACGATTATGGTGGGGGAACAAAGCCATAACTGGAACTTGCTTGTGCCAGTTTTCAAAAACAACATATTGTGTAACTATAAATATTTTTTATCTTTATTCAAATGGAGTATATTTTAGTTCGTACAAGTGTTTCTCAACACTAATTAACATTATAATATTATTTATTTATAGTATTTGATATCTGGAACTTGATTATAACTGAAATTATTTATTACATCATTTTTTATTCTGATTCTTTTTCACTAACTATCTGACAAAAAAGTTTGATTAACACATCTTTTTTTTTCTCCTTTTCTGGGGTCCAAAGATCTTGGTTGATTACAATATCCCTTTCATGACTTCAAAGATATTGGTCAGTGAAGTTAATATTTATTGGTAGAAAGCAACCACTATATCAAAGTACACCATACAATAATGACTGAAGCGTTCTGATTTCTAAGTCGTATTCTTTTGTTTTTTTTGCAAAGATTAGTGTACCAAACTATTGTATAAGCAAGTTTTATTATTAGTGGTTCATTTTATTATAAGAGCCTTCTAGATAAGTACTGTAGAATTACTTGTAGTCAATTAACAAGAGTTTCAAAAATGTTCCACGTATCTGAATTTGAAATAAGACAACTTTTTATTGGATCTATCAAGGAGAAAAATATTTAGTTTATAATAGATTGATCTATAAGTCTAATCTTAGTTATGAAAAATGTTTAGAAAAATATTATCTATAAATAGTTTGACAGTGTCTTAAAGTTTTGAATTGATGTGATTACTTCTCTCTTCTGAGTTTTAGACGAAGATACGATGTCCCTTTATCTTATGATTCTAAATTATGGATTTTATTATTTTCTCCTTTGATCTCTCCAACACTTCACTTTTTAGATATATAACCTACTAATAATTGATATAAACATAATACTAATATCGATAATGAATTTTAACCGATGTTAGTATTTTATCCGAGTCATACAGAGAAACACGTCCTCTAGAAAGAATTTTATTAAAATTGGACTACATAGTACATAACTATTTTTTTAGGTTTTTCTTCATTTGTTTGTCTTTTCTTGATTTGTTCTGTGGTAGCTTGATACATATTATGGCATATGTTTGTTCATTTGTACTTTGTTTGTACTTATTTTCCTTTAATATTAATATTAGTTTGGGTTTTAAAAAAAAAAGAACATAACATATGTTGCAAAAGAATCATTATAAAATTGATGTTTCTTTCTATATATTCTCACAAGTCACAACATAATTGATCACTTCTAGTACACTTTTATTTATTTTTCTTCTGTGCCTAATTTCCCACATTGAGTAACTACAAAATGTTGCTCCATATTGTTGTGTTGCTTTCTCTCTTTTCCTCTACTTTTGCTACAAATGCACCTCAAAACACTTTGATTCAATGTCTCATTAACAATTCTGAACCATCAAACCGAATAATTGAATCAATTTTCACACAAAATAGTCCTTCATTTCCTTCAATCTTACAAGCCTACATAAGAAACCTTCGTTTCAACACCACAAAAACACCAAAACCATTTCTCATAGTCACTCCATCACATGTTTCACACATACAATCATCAATTATTTGTGGTAAAAAGCACAAACTTGAAATGAAAATTCGAAGTGGAGGACATGACTATGAAGGTGTGTCATATGTGTCAAAGGTACCATTTTTCATCTTAGACATGTTCAATCTTAGATCCATTGAAGTTGACATAGAAAATGAAACAGCTTGGATTCAAACCGGTGCAACACTCGGTGAAGTTTACTACAAAATTGCTGAGAAAAGTAAAATCCATGGTTATCCGGCCGGCGTTTGTGCAACTGTTGGCGTAGGAGGACATGTTAGTGGTGGCGGTTATGGCAATTTGATGAGAAAATATGGTACTTCTTCTGATAATGTTATTGATGCACAAATAATAGATGCTAAAGGTAGATTACTTGATAGAGAAGCAATGGGAGAAGATCTTTTTTGGGCTATAAGAGGAGGTGGTGGAGCTAACTTCGGTGTTGTTCTTTCTTACAAAATAAAACTAGTTAAGGTTCCTAAGATAGTAACTGTTTTTGAAGTTAAAAGAACTTTGGAACAAAATGCAAGTGACATAGTTTATAATTGGCAAAATGTAGCACCAACTACAAGTAATGATCTTTTCATTAGGCTTATATTGGAAGTTGTAAAAGATGCAAAAAATGGTGAGAAAACTATAAGGGCTAGTTTTATAGCTTTATTTCTTGGTGACACAAAAACTCTTGTTACATTAATGGATGAAACTTTTCCTCAATTGGGTTTAAAGGAAGAGGATTGCATTGAAACAAGTTGGCTTCAATCTATTCTTTTTTGGGACAACATAGATATTGATACACCACTTGAGATTTTGCTTGAGAGACAACCTCACTTGCTTAGATACTTGAAGAGAAAATCAGATTATGTAAAGGAACCGATTTCGAAAGAGGGTTTAGAAGGGATTTGGAAAAAGATGATTGATTTGGAAAAAGGTGTAATGTTGTTCAATCCTTATGGTGGAAAAATGGATGAGATTTCACCAACAGAAACTCCTTTACCTCATAGAGCTGAAAATTTATGGAAGATTCAATATCAAGCAAATTGGAATGAGGAAGGGGAAGAGGTAACATTTTATCATATAAATGTTACAAGAGAACTTTATAAGTATATGACACCTTTTGTGTCAAAAAATCCAAGACAAGCTTATCTTAATTATAAGGATCTTGATTTAGGTGTTAATCATCATGGTTTATTTAGTAGGTACTCACAAGGTAGTGTTTATGGAATTCAATATTTTAAGGATAATTTTGATAGGTTGGTGGAAATTAAGACTAAGGTTGATCCTCATAATTTCTTTAGGAATGAACAAAGCATTCCTGTGTATGGACATGTGGATAGAGTTAGAAGGGTGTTTGAGAAATCTTTGATTTCTATTTTTGTGTGTTTGGTAGTTAATTGGATTTGGAACATGTCACAAGGTCATGGTGCAAAGAAAGAGTAAACTCTATAAACCTTGTATGTGTAATGATTATTAGTATAATGATAAATGCTATATTTTAATGGTTTTTGTGTTTGCATTTTCAGCCTATTATGTGAATGATTTTAGAAGTATCACAACATAGTTTGCTTATCATCTCAATTAAAATTCTAATAAATTTGTAACCAAACTCAAATTATGCACTCCATCGTACAAATTTAAACTCATTACAAATTTCACTTATTAAATTAGAAATTAACTTAATTTACTTCCTCCTTATATGAATGTCATGGTTCGTAACCACCCTAAAGTTAATTATTTGAAACTTTTTGTACAATGTATTTGGAGTCTTATGATGAGCAGTGCTTTGAGAGATTTTTATACTTTTCAAATGATGAATCACATTTATTAGCTTCGAAGAAGTCTAAATATTTTGAATTTGAAGTTGCATGTGCTACGTATATGTCCTCTAAAACAATTATCGGAAGAATAACTTTTTTTTCCTTTTATAGTACGTATTTTGTAATAGTGCTGGTTTCTCTTTTAGGAGGTTTTAATTTGACACCTCCTTAAATTTTACATTTTCTATTTTCGTTATTTCTGAAATACTTTTAATGATTTGAGAAGTATTTTTGGATAAAATTTCTGATAGAGCAAGTGGAATTTTCAGTATAGAAGAAATTTCTGATAGATTAATATTAAAATTCCGATACTTAATAATTTTCAATAGGAAATAACAAAATTTCCGCTATTTTATGATTTTTGATAGTTTATATGAAATTTTTGGTATTTCGAATATTTCAAATTTCTGGTATAATTTTTTGAAAATAAATAAATAAAAGTTATTTTATACTACTGGAAATTTCCTGTATTGTACCAAAATTTTTGAAATATACTAAAATTTCATGTAACTGTATCGAAAATTTGAAATACTGAAATTTCCTGCAATATACTGAAATTTACGGGATTTTTTCAAAAATTATGGAATTTTTTTCGGAAATTTCAAAAAATTATGGTAAAACTCATTTTTTTAAAATTGGTGATTTTAGACAAGTGTATAATGGTAAAAACATATAAAGGGGGGTGTCATATATAAGTGTGAGAGTGACCTCTCATTTTAGACTAATGTTTATTATTGGGCCTAGCTGGTTACTTTGGTAGAGGCCCATTCATTATATATAAAATAATGACCTCTCACTTTGTAATAAAATAAAAGAATTTTTTAAACCACCGTTGTACCTACTTAGAGGCCTCTAGCAAAATTTCTATAATACTTCTCGAATTCGGATATTCATATCTGAACTTACCATAGTTCAGTTTTTTTATCAAATAGGTTTGGAAATGCATATTCGAAGACACTGAAGCTTTGTTTTGGATATACATTTCTGAAATACGCAGAACCAATAATAGAATCAAAATCCTTCAAACCAAAGCAACTTAACATAGATTTAACATAGATGTCCCAATTATATGGATAGTTGAACAAAAATTTAACATTACAAATTATTATAAACGGATAGTTGAGGACGTCGCAATATTTTGATAACATGTTCTCTCGGTCTTTGAAGTTTTGCATCCACTTCAATTGGATCCTTAGTAAAGTATCGCTGAAAAGTACTCCACATAACCTTTACATTGTCATCCATCTTCAGCTTAAATATGGTGAACTTTATCTTACATTCAGTGTCAAGTGAAGACGAACGATACTCGACCTTGACCACCTTTTGATTTTCTGGATATTGTAAGAGAGAATTCAGTGTGATAATCAGACCGACAAAAGGCTTGTCCTTGTAGACCTGAAAATGCAGTGGTGACATGTTAGCATTAAAGTAGACAAAAGCAAGGTGGGGATATGTTTGACTTGTCTCTGTTTGAGGTTTGTGATGTTGAAGCAATGGTTTGGAGACCCTATTTATAGAAGAGATGGAGCAATTTGGGCCCAAGAATTATTATCCTACCACCACTGCATGTTTCCGATATAAACATTCGAATTAACCTTTTTTTTACGAAATTAGGGGGTTTCAGATAGGCATATCCGAAATAATCCTTGTTTTATTTTTTAAAAATGAAGGTTCGTTCGGAATGTATATCTGAAATAACCTCTATTTTGTTTTTTTAACAAAGAAGGTAGGTTATTTCGGGTATGCATATCCGAATTATGCAGAACCAGTAACAAAATCTCTTTTAGCATAATTAGTACCATAGAAACGTGGAAAGAATTTAATCGATAAAAAGTAAACAACGGTAACATATTGAATAGATATATTATATATGTATTTAATCATATTGAATTTACATTGTGCACATTAATATATTCAAAAAAATAATTCGATTACATTCTAAAATGCACCGAATAAATTATCATCGATTTAATCTAAAACCGTTTCTTTCTTCGACTTCTCCCTATTTGATTCCCTATAGAGCTCTGTCAATTTGGTGAGCTTTGTCATCCTTTACAAAAAGGTATCCGACCAAGTTTCTGCATCATTTACAGAATGTGTTGTTCACTAGACTAATGTAGCTGGTATAGAACACCCCGATTTCAAATAAACCTGGACAAAATAGCATGTCTAAGGTACCCAATACAAATGATTTGGCCGAATGGGTCTTGAGGTGGGCGACTCCGAAGTGAGAAAAATGTTTCCGAAAAACCATATCTTGTCAGATCGATACTGTGATCAGTGGAAATAGAACTGACTGTTTTGAAATGCTGGTTCGCGAAATGTCGCGGTAAGCAAGAGTCGCCACCGTCTTTTATTTTCTCCAACAAGGAAAGGACAAAAGCACAGCAAAATTCCTTTTTCGAGATGTCTCTCGGTTCGGGAGGTAGATTATAGAAAGGGAAGGTGTTAGCACCCTTTCTATCCGTGGTTATCCATGGGCTCTTAGGTACTTGCTCACTATGTTTTCAAAATGTTTTGTTTTTCTTGTGTTTGTGGGTTTTGAAAAAGTTTGTTTTAAAACTTCAATTTAACTCTTGTATCTGTCCTCAAGAGTGTATGAAGTGTTGCTTGAAAACTTTTGTCAGAAAAGTGTAGGTGCGAAAAGTATTTTTTGTTTTGAAAGAGCAAGTACCTGAGAACCTCTACCTACTCAAAAGAAATTAAGCTGTGTAAATGTCCTTTAGACAGTACTATCCCACTATTGAGAAGTAGGTAGCACCGTCGTTAGAGTTTTTCGGGTCAATTCGATTATAGGGACATGTGGTCACCAAAGCAATAGTAGGACGCCTTAGCGGTAACCCTAATGTCCTAGATCCTTTTTATCCGAGGCAACCGTTTCGAGGTAACTTGGATCTTTAGACAGGAGGGCGACCTCTAAAACACCCTATACTCAATGACCACGTCGAGGCAACCAAGTGAGGCGTACCCTAGGAGTGGCATGTGCGAGTGTGTCAGGATTCAGTTAAGTTATCTTTGAATATGTTATGGTGAGCTACGTTTTGATTTTATTTTCAGAGAAGTCTTGTCATGCATAGTTTAGTTAACATACATCTAGCAGTTTAATAGTTTAGGAATGTAAATTGCGGAAAGTAAAGCTACGCTATTACAAGGCGTCGGGTATTTACATCGCCAAAAACAAATCCTTGAAAAGAAGTAAATTGCGGGAAAGTAAATAAAAGCGATAAAAGGTCCTAATTAAAGCTATTACATCCTCGGAGCAATTACATAATATGGATAAAAAATTAATCAAGAATAAACATACGCGCGAGAGAAATTGGATCGGAGAAGTCCTTAGGGTTTTGACCCTTTTTGAGAAAGAAAGACGTTTTTGTCCTTTTTTGCATTTAATTAAACCTAGAACTAATTAATTAATAAAAAGAAATATTTTTTAAGTTTTTATGTTTTTAGTGAAAATAAAAGAAATTAAAATTGTCAAGAAAACCCTAATTCTATGTTGATTTTAAATTATTGATAAAAAGTTAAAATTAACCCTAATTAACTAAATAGATTAATTATGTATTTATTTACAAAAATAATAAACTAAGGGTGAAATTAATAAATAATAATAATAAAAATATTACATTTTTTAGTTTTTCTGATTTTACTATGAAAATAATTAATTTGGTTAATTAAATAATAATAATAATTAATTAAAAATAATTAAAAGAAAAAAATATAAAAGAAAAAATAAGAAGAATAAACCAGGGGGGTACTGGCCCATTTATGGAGGTGTTATTGTCAATTCTGAAGTCCAATTGTTTCCAGCCTCTTTGACTTTCTTGGATTGCCCACACATGCATTGACCAGGGACCATGGTAGTCATTCCATCCTGGCCTTCAGATTTGCTTTGCAAGCCACTTGGCGCTTTGATGATTGAGGTATATGGTGGACAACATTATGCAACCTGCATGTGAACATATAGGAAAAAATAGAAACAAGTGTTTTGGGGGACATGGGATTCGAACCCAGGTCCCAAAGCTCATTGGACGCTTGCCTTAACCACTCCAATCAACGCGTTCATTCAATATAGGAATAACAAATAAATATAATATGTAAAACTTAATTAATATGCTGAAACTATGAAAAAACGCGCTAAGATTTAAACCGGCCAACTATACGTCAACACGTCCTCGTCTTCTTCCTTCGTTCTGCAAAAACAAACATTAGATAGCGGGGGTTTTTAACCCCCACAATATGACACGAGGAATAATAGCGACTAGAGCCATGGTGTATATAAATATTTCGCGAGGGTTCCAATGTGTTCGTCTGGTTCTCACGAATCCAACCATGTGCCTTACAAGTCCTGATTTTTCTGGGTTTAGAAAACCCCAATTTCACAACTTATGAACCCTAGAAATTGTCAATGGCAATTTTTGATTTATGGCGTTTTAATCCAATTAAGTGATATCATTAGCTTCGTATGACCTCTGGCAATGCAACACAATCAATAAAACATGTTAATTATGCAGGAATTCAATAATATGATCTTGAGAAAAAAACGCAAACCGTGGTTCTGTTTAGGGCGATTCTTGTAGCTTTAAGGCCTGAATTTGATTGCAAAACCTTCCTGGGATCCCCTGC